CATTGAGTTCTAACAAAATCTTTAATTATCATAATTATAAATATTATATTATTAAATCAAAAATAAATTTATTAAACTTAAATTAAATTATAATAAAAAATTAAATTAAATAAATTATTTAAAAAATATAAATTATAAATAGTTGATTTGATACTACTATTGATATAATTTTTTCGAATTTTTATTATATTTTCAAAAAATTCAAAAATAAAATCATTATTATTTTTCTTAAAAACACATAAAATTGTATTATAACATCGACAGAGACAAAAAAATAAAACAAACCATTAAATTCGAGATGTATCTCGCTGTATTGCACGAGTACCCTTATAATATAATTTTTATAAGGATAATAATCAAGTATTCTGTTATTAAGTATAACTCAATGATTATCCTAATTATATTTTAGATATTTTATATTTAAAAAGAGATGTTTATCCAATATTTGATTATGTTTATCTGCAGTTAGTTAGACGAAATAATAGAGGTTGTCTTTAAGAGTTTTAGCCAAATGCTTTATAAAATAGTATAAATTGTTTCAAGAAAATAGGTTGTTTTATAATTGTTATATTTTTGTCTTTTTCCATAAGAGTAAATTACGATTTTCGTCCTTGTAGTTTATTAATAATTTGATTTTCGTCCTTATTATTTAAAAAATTACGATTTTTGTTCCTATAATTTTCGATTTATTGTTATTTTCGTCCTTGAACTAATTCATACCTGTAAATATAAGAGACCAAAACAGTAAAGAAATGTAAACCACAATGACCGCAACAACAATAAATTATAAACCATAAGTTCATAACTAGCAATAAATTACAAATCATAGAGATGAAAATCGCATTTTTTAAACCATAAAAATAAAAATCATAATTTTAAACAAACAACAAGAATGGAAAATGTAATGCAATATATAATGTAGTAAAACAATCAAAACTGAATTATAATAAAAAAAAGGTCAAATTGCATGAAAATGTAACGTACTTTAACTTGAGTACCATTTTGGGTAGTGTACTTTCAAAATATCCATTTTGGTATCTAAGATGTAAAGTTTTAAATATTTAAGTATTCGGATTATCAGTTGAAGACTAATTTTAGATTAAATAAATCATATCACTAACCATGTCAGCAAATAATACTAAGTCGGATACCATATCACTCGTCACATTAGCATGATAACCAGTTACTCCGAGTACTTAAATTGTTTAAAACTTTATACAAAAATGAAAGTTTTAAAAATATGTTATCTAAAATAAGAATCAAGTTAAACTACGTTACTTTTTTTTTTTTAAAGTTACCCTAAAAAACTCATAAAATATCAATTAATTCACCTATATGAATTTCTTAATTACAATTAAATTCAATTTCCCAAATCCATGTTGCGTGTCCATTAATCAAACACCTTTAATAAGCATGTGTCCATAAATTAAATATATTACACAATTAAAATAAAGAAAAATATAAATAAATAAATCCATCTAAGTATTTGGAATAAACTACAAAGTTGGTCCATGTAGTTTGTCAAAAGTAACACTTTTCATCCCTACATTTTTTTAAATTACAATATAGTCACAGTGTTCTATAGGAACGTTCACATTTGATCCCTATCTCTAACAGTCATTAAAAATTTCGTTAAATAAGGAACACTTTTGTCTTTTTCATTAAGTTTTTTTTAATCTTTTAACTAATCAAAATCAATTCTATAGTTTGGTCTATATGGTTTTTGATTGCGTAAATGATAAAAAGTTGACAAAAGAGAGAAAAAAAAAACCTCATATTTAACGGAGGCTTTTTAACAGTTATTAGAAGAAGGACTTGAATTCAAACGTTTTTAGGTCATTTTATAATTTTGAAACTATATAAACAAAAATTGTCATCTTTAACAAACCTCGAGGGCCTGATTTGTAATTTACTATTCTAAGTTGTAAAAGGTAGGAAGCAAACAAAAAAGAAACGAAAATTGAGATGATTTCCCTTTTTCTCCTTGATCATGTGCGGGGATCATGGGGAGAAGCAGTCAAAGGGACCTACGAGATGTCAACATACTAAAAAACACCAATTCATTATCCATAAATATAAATAAAATATTTATATTAAATTTTACAAATTATTTTTATAAAGATAAAATACAATTAAATACAATTAAAAGGATACTCATGCAATACAACGATATATATCTTAATTTTAATGTTTTACTTTATATTTTGAGTCTATCGATGTTATAATACGATTTTGTTTGGTTTTGAGAAAAAAATGTTTTTATTTTTAAATGAAATATAAATTTAAAGATATTATGAAAAAAAATTAAAAAATAATTGATATTATTATCAAATTAATTATTTAAATGTTCTCGTTTTTGTGTAATTTCTTTAATTCATTTTTTTATTATAATTTACTTGAATTTTAATAACGAACTAATTTATTTTTGGTTTAAAAAATAATTTTTTAAGATGATAATTAAGTAATCTGTTAGATTTTAATGATTATCCTAATTGTATTTTAGATTTTTTATTTTTAAAATGAAATGTTTATCCAATATTTGATTATATTTATTTGCAGTTAGTTACACGATTTCAAATATGAAGTTTTAATAAGTTGTACTTGTACACAATTTACTTGTAATCTTAAATTTTAAGTAATTTGCATCAATAAATAATATTTCATGCAAAAAAAAATGGTTTTTAAGAGTTTTTGTCAAATGTCTTATAATATACACACAAATAACCAATCAAACTGGCCTACTGGATAAATCAAGAATACAGATTAAAAAACGACCATTGGACCGAGAATGCAATTGCATTATAAGGTTGCAATTTGTTGGTTTTTATAGCGTCATCAAGTTATTTAATATGATCAGGATTAATGTGAGACAAGTCGAAATTAAACTTAGCTATAATACGAGTCGGGAGGTGCATAGTGCACGCTCGGATAAGTTAAGTTGACCTTGGGAACGCGGAAGTCCGGGGGCAGCGCCCTTAGTGGGGTTCCAAGGGGCATCGCCCCTGGCGGGGTCCAAGGTGGCTATGTAAGGTTTTATTCAATAATTGCATATTAGCTTCTTCGTATATACTGTTACTCTGTCGGATTTTTCTTAATCAATTTAATGAAGTTTCCTTTGTATGGTATACAACTTTTAAAAAAGTTCAACCGACACATAAAAGTTTTTAAAAAGTTATATTCAATGTAAGATTTTGGCGACATGATTAAGTGAATGCCAAGTTTATCGTCTTACTTCACCATTTTTGGTAAATGAATCCATATCATTAAGGGACCGTTTACCTAAACATTTACTCGGTAAGCACTTACCGGTAAAATTTAACATTATCGCTTACCGGGTAAGATTTTATTCACTAAAACGCATCGTAGGCAACAATTTTTCCCGGTAAGCGCTAACCATGGTGAGAGTCCTCGTCCTCACTTACCGGATAAGACTCTCGATTTTGGCCTCCGCTCTTACCGTGTATGATTTTTAGTCCTTGTCATATTCATTCGGTAAAGTAAAGCGACTTGATAAGCATTTTTTCTGATGGAGAGTTGTTCTACGCAAACCTTTTATGTCAAAATGAAAAGAGTTTTTGATGTTGATGAACGTAAAGATGAAATTTGTGAAGTAAAACACATTTTGATAGGTGGAGAGGAATGCGTTTAACGTAACTTTTTTTGAACGAGGTATATTAGAGCATCTCCAACGTATTCTCTAAATTACATGAAAAAAATAACGTACTTTAACTTGATTCATATTTTGGGTAACGTACTTACGAAACTTCAACCCTAAGATGTAAAGTTTTAAACATTTAAGTACCCGAGTAACCAGTTGAAAACTAATTTTAGATTAAAAAAATTCCATGTCACTAACCACGTCAACAAATAATACTGAGTTGGATACCAAATCACTCGTTACATCAGCATGATAATCGGCTAATGCTTCAATCGCTTACCCGGTACTTATATGTTTAAAACTCTACATCTTAGGTACTAAAATGGAAGTTTTGGAAGTACGTTATCCAAAATAGAAATCAAGTTAAAGTACGTTATTTTTTCATGCAATTTGTCATTCTAAATACACTCACGTCTACTAATTTTCTACACACACATTTTTATTTTTTCAATATATAACTTAGGCCTTGTTTGTTAGCAATTTAACGAGACTCACAATTTATTCGGTCAGTTATATATAACTGTTTAACAGTGACTTAACTATATATAAAATAACTTATTCAATAAGTTTATATGAAGTTTTATACAGAAAGACAAGTTTTTTTCAAACCTACCCTTTTCAATTAAGAAATACGTTGCATTTATTAAAAAACCACTAAAATGATACTCGCACAATTCAACGAGATACATCTCGATTTTAATGTTTCTTTTTTTTGTCTCAGTCGATGTTATAATACGGTTTTATGTGGTTTTGACAAAACGATAATGTTTTTATTTTTTTTGAATAAAATATAAATATGAAAATATCATAAACAATTGAAAAAAAAAATATTGATATTAATACAAACTAACTATTTAAAATTTCTCATTTTTTCAGTATTTCTTTAATTATATTTTTATTTTTAGTTTAATAATATAATTTTTTTATAAAGATAATAATCCAGTATTTTGTCGGAAGTCAATGATCATCCTAATTATATTTTAAATGAGATATATATTCTCTATTTGATTACGTTTATCTGCAGTTATTTACACGAATTCAAACATTAAACTTTAACAAGTTATACTTACGTTCAATTTATTTGTAGCCTTGAATTTTAAGTAATATACATCAATAAACAATACTTTATACATAAAAAATGGTTTTTATAATATACTATAAAATAATCCGAAGTATATACAACACCAATGTTTTGATAACCACACCACCGACGAATACGAATTAAGCAATAGAAGCAGTCGTCATTATTCAACAATTTTACAGAAAATAAATTCCAAAAAGCCAAAAAAAGCAAATAAATACATTAAAAAATTCAAAGAAAAAGGAAGAATAAGGGCAGAGAAGGTCTTGTTGTCTATGTTAAGTAAAGCCCTCTGTTTGCTGCATATATACATACAATAGATCTGTATCTATTTCTCATTTCCTTGCAGAAATGGGGGAGCAGAGGTGCATAACGTCGTCGTTTTTGGCATTGGTGCTTCTTCTTCTGCTTCAGCTCATCAATGGAGAAGACCCATATAGATTTTTCACTTGGAATGTCTCTTATGGCGATATTTACCCTCTTGGAGTCAAACAACAGGTTTTTTTTTTCACTTGGAATGTCTATTCATTGATGAATACTGTTTTCTCTCTCAACATTATAACATGTTTCTTTTTCAAGAAATCTTGAAATATCGTTTATTGCTTCCATTCATGATGAATACTCAAGTCCTTTTGAACATTATAAAGAAAATCCGTGGGTTATTTATGATTTCTTGCTTCCATTCATGATGAATACTGTCTTCTTTCTGAACATGATAAAGAAAACCCATGGGTTATTTTTTTCAAGAAATCTTGAATATGGTTTCTTGCTTCCATTCATGATGAATACTGTTGTCTTTTTGAATATTATAAAGAAAATCCATGGGTTATGTTTTCAAGAAATCTTGGAATATCATTTCTTGCTTCCATTCATGATGAATACTGTCTTCTTTCTGAACATGATAAAGAAAATCCATGGGTTATGTTTTCAAGAAATCTTGAATATGGTTTCCTGCTTCCATTGATGAGTTGTGAATATAATAAAGAAAAAAGGTTTATCTGATTTGTGGGTGCAGGGGATATTGATAAATGGACAGTTTCCAGGGCCACTGATTGAATCAGTGACAAATGATAACTTGGTTATCAATGTTTTCAACAGCTTGGATGAACCATTTCTCCTTTCTTGGTCAGTTCTTCACTTATTTCCCCACATTTTCTCTCTCTTTTTTTATGCTTAAAATAGAAAAAATAAATAAACAATCGTTAAAATAGAGTAGTTTTTGGAGTTGATGTTACTGGGTAACATTCTCGGTCATTAGCCCGTAAGTGTTTATTGGATAAGTGTTTCTCTCTAATTTATCGGGTAAAATTTTCGGTTCTTAATATGTTTTTTAGGGTGTGGTTGGTGTCTAGAGAAGACATGACATGATAGAACAATTGTTCAATGTTTGGTAAGAAAAATTTGGACAGAACAAGTAAAATGAGTTGTTTATTTTAATTAATTCATGTAATTTATTAAATTATAATAGAATAATTAATTTTTATAACAAAATATATCATTTGAAGTTTTCATCAAAACAATTAAAATGACACCAAATAAAAAGTTTATGTAGCTTTCAATTTTTATTTTGTATCTCTTTTCAACATTATTTTTTTTATAATAAATTACATAAATTAATAAAAATATAAAAATTGTATAAAAATAATATTTTAAGAACAGTAAAATAAAAGTTTAAGAAACATAAAATACAACAAATAAAATTTAAAGAATGAATAAAATGTTAAAATAGACCTATTTGATGTTTTAGAAGATGATTAAGTTTTATTTTAAGGTTATATTGGTAAAATATAAGTCTGTTTTATTTTGTTCCATCCTGTTCCATGGGGTAGGGGTGGAACAGGCCTGTATCACTCTGTTTCTGTTTGTTCCACATAAAAATCATGTCAAACATGGGACATGAATCCTTGTTCTGTGTACCAAACGTACCCTTACCAATAAGGTTTACTGCAATGTTATTCTTTGAGTTGGGAATTGGACAGATTTTGTTCACATTCATGATTTTGAAACTTGTACTTTGTATCAATGTTCATTGAATTGGGACTGACCCCCATTCAGCAGGCTTTATTTATTATTAGTTTAATAAAAGTTATGCAAAATAAAATAAAAAATAATTATTATATAAAAGAAAATTAACATTAACAAGTTTTAGACAAAATATTTTTTATTTGTTAATAATTTTATATAAAAAATATAAGAGTTTTATTAAGGGGCTGTTTGGTAGTTGTTGAATAGTTTTGTCCAGAACATTAAGTGGTCAGAATGATTAAAAAGCTCTCATTAAATAGTGCAAAATGAAATATAATTGTTTGGTAATTGTTTACAATGAAAATAGGGCTCTTAATGGTTAAGGGAGGCCTATGATACAAAATCATTCACAGGGTTTTAGGACCATTAAGAGGTAGACTTTTTTTTTGCCAAAAAAGATTTACCTTTTAATGATTCAGAGATTGTCTCTTAATGAAACTATTAAGAGGTAAACAAATAAACCCTAAGTAAATTAATTAGGAGGGTGTTTTAGTAATTTTACTCCCTTCTTTATTTTCTATTAAAAACAAAAACATAAATTATATAACTATTTCTTGAGTATGTTAAATGTAGGGTATTTTAGTCATTTTACATTTTTTATTTTTTATTAACACATTATTCAATGTGGACTTGTCCATTAATAGATTACATCACTTTCTTGGGTTGGGGTTTACATCACTTTCTAGTTGGGTTCTCTTTTTACTTGTACTTGAAGCACTGAGAAGACATGTTTGTTAATACCCGACTAGCTTAATGAAATTCACAGCATATTTGGTTAGTTATACATGACTGAGGTAGTGGTTTAATGATATAGAGTTTTACTTATTTAATACACTTATAGGGAGACTAAGGGGTCGTTTACCAAAAACTTACCCGATAAGTGCTTACTGGTAAAATTCAACACTATTACTTCTTTACCGGGTAAGATTTTAGTCCACCAAAACGACACCTTATGCAATAATTTACCCTATAAGCTCCTACTGTGGTAAGAGTTGTTGTTTTCACTTACCGGGTATGGATCAACGGTATTTCTTTATTCATTACCCGTTACCTGTTTCCTGAAATTTTAGTGGGTAGGGTATGGATAAACGGCTTTTTCTTTATCCATTACCCGTTTACCCGAAATTTTAGTGGGTAGGATATGGATAAACGGTTTTTCTTTATCCAATTACCTGTTACAAAATAAGAGTTGAGTTCCGGTGAGAAGGTAAGAAGAGATCTTCATCACTGGATCAATTATAATTGAATGTCAACAATAATGAGGTGAGGTGCACTGAGATGTAGCATATCAATTCCCTTCTAAAGTGCAATCCATGATGGGCATGAGATTAAAAATATCAAGGGTTCAGATCTCTTCTTACGTTTCTCACTGTAACTTCCCTTCTCACACAATTATTTACCAAAATAAAATAAAAAATAACGTGTGATTTAATTTACTTTTTATATTTATATCGATGATGTCGTTTTCTGTTTTTTTTGGCCTAATTTAAGTTTGCATGTAGATTCTTGTAACATTTGAACTTGTTAATGAGAGCAGGAATGGGGTTATGCAACGGAGAAACTCGTGGCAAGATGGTGTTTTCGGTACAAATTGCCCAATCCCACCTGGCCAGAACTTCACGTATAATCTTCAAGTGAAAGATCAGATTGGTAGCTTCTTTTACTTCCCTTCCCTGGCATTCCACAAGGCCGCCGGAGGATATGGTGGCATCAAAATTGCTAGTCGTTCGGTTATTCCGGTCCCCTTCGCACCACCTGCTGGAGATTACACTATACTTGCCGGAGACTGGTTCAAGCAAAACCACACTGTAAGTGGCCTATCTTGTGTGGAGTTGATTATGCAGTCCAACTGTTTGATATAATGCCTAGCTGAAAGTTGGGGTGTTCATCGGTTGAAATCCAATGGATTTAGTTGGATACGATCCAATCCAATAATCCCACGGATGTTGGATTTTGTTATTCGATCAAATCCGATTAAAAGAGTGGACATCCGATCCAATCCAATGGATGATTGGATCGGATCAGTTCCATCAATTGGATGTTAATATTGGTTATCCATTTGATCGGATTAGATTATCAATATTTTGATACAATTTTCAACCAATTATTCATATATTTTCTTAATTTATTAAAAACCACTAAAAAAAAATATCGGAAAACGTTAATGGTTATATATAGTTAATAATTGGACGGTAGTTGGATGATCATTGGGTTGGATCGGTTCGGTTTTATTGGATTCTGGACGGTCATCGAACCGACCGATCCAATTGGATGTTAAAATTTTGGATCTAATCCGATCCAATTACGGTTGGACGGTTCTAATTAGATCCGTCGGTTTGAATTGGGTAGGATGACTTTCTGCACACCCTTAGCTGAAAGTTGGTATTGAGTATGTAGTCCAACCGTTTGATATGATGCCAACCTGAAAATGGGTTGGTTTGCGTCTTTAATTTTAACAGGATCTAAAAGCAATTTTGGACAATGGTAACGATCTTCCCTTCCCGGATGGCATTTTGATTAACGGGCGAGGATCAGACGGATTTACATTTACGGTTGATCAAGGTTCGTAAAGTTGAAACTTGATGGCCGATTTCGTTCATAAATTAACAAGATTGTTAATTTTCATCTAAATGATTCTGGCAGGTAAGACTTACAGGTTTAGGGTATCGAACGTTGGTCTTACTACTTCAATCAACTTCCGAATCCAAGGTCATAAGTTGATTTTGGTTGAGGTAGAAGGAACTCATTCACTACAAAATACATATGATTCCATCGACATCCATTTGGGGCAATCGTATTCCGTATTGGTCACTGCTGACCAACCTCCTAAGGATTATTACATAGTGGTTTCAACCCGGTTCACCACACCCGTGCTTACAACTACGTCGGCTCTACGTTACAGTAACTCTGCCGGAGGTGTTGATGGTGCCCTGCCTGGGGGACCGACGACTCAGATTGACTGGTCAATTAACCAGGCCCGATCACTCAGGTAATCTATACTATATTATAAAACAAGTAGGATAAAGTCTTAAACACCATTTTTATGCATAAAAGACTCTTTATTGATGCATATTGCTTAAAATTCAAGATCACAAGTAATTGTGCATAAGAACAACTTATTAAAGCTTCATTTTGAATTTGTGTAACTAACTATAGATAAACATAATCAAATACGGGATAAACATCTAATTTTGAATATAAAAAATCTTAAATATAATTAGGATAATCATTAGCTACAACAACATACTTAATTATTATCTTTATAAAAATTATGTTATTAAACGATAAATAAATTATTTCGCTATTAAATTGGAAATAAAATATTGAGTTAAAAAAATTACACAAAAAACCAGAACATTAATTAACATTTTCGGTTAAAATAAGATCTTGCATCCTGTTGCATTGTATCTAGTTCGTTGAAAAATGTTCGATAAAATGAACGCATGCAATGGTCATATGAGTGTCTAACTGTGCTACTTGACTATGTTGAAATAGGCGTAACTTAACCGCTAGTGGGCCAAGACCGAACCCACAGGGTTCGTATCACTATGGGTTGATCAACACCACTCGGACGATTAGGCTCGTGAACTCTGCACCTGTGATCAACGGGAAACAGAGATACGCCGTCAATAGTGTATCATTCATTCCACCGGACACCCCACTTAAGCTTGCTGATTACTTCAAGATTTCCGGTGTTTTCAGCCTTGGAAGCATTCAGGATAGCCCAACTGGCGGTGATCACCTCCAAACCGCTGTAATGCCGGCGGACTTCAGAGGGTATGTGGAGGTCGTGTTTGAGAACCCGGAAGACACGGTTCAATCTTGGCATGTCGATGGCCACCACTTCTTTGTTGTCGGGTAACATTTTATTTATTGAAATATAACTATGGCTTAATGCAAGAAGTTATTCCAAATTAACTTCTTGTTGTGATATTAACAGGATGGATGGAGGGCAGTGGTCGACTGCTAGCCGAACCGGCTACAATTTACGCGACACGATTTCACGTGTCACCGTACAGGTGTGGCAACTAAACGAGGACAAACGCATTTTATTTGTACATTATTACTGTTTAATCTTGCTCATGCTGCAAGAATATACTTGGGGGCCATTTATCAACACTTATTGGGTTAGTGCTTGACGGGTATACTGCAGTCTGGGTAAGAGGTTCGGTCCCGATAAGCACTAACCGAGTAAGTGAGATTTTGATGATGGCTGGGTATGCTGCGCTGATGCTCACTGAGTCGGCACCTTCAATCAGATTGGTAACTAAAGTAAACGTACTGACTGCTGACTGAGTCAGTTTGGTGGTAGTAAGTAAACTTAGGGGCCATTTAACAACACAAACCACGTAATAGTCACCACCCTCACTTTACTTTACCGGGTAAGATTACATGTCATAAAAATAGCATCATAATATAAGCGTCTCTTATCCCGTAAGCGCTAATCGGATAAGAGTCATCACTCTTGCTTAGGGGGCAAGATTCTCGATTAGTAAAATGGCGCCATAATATTGTCTGTAAAGATCATCTCTTACTGGGTAAGCATAAGAGACGATAAATATTCAATTAAGTAGTTAAACGCTACAATGAGCAAGAACTAAGGGGCCGTTTACTAAACGCGTACTCGGAGAAGTGTTTATCAAGTCCCATTTGAATACGACAATGACCAAGAATCTTATCCGGTAAGAATGAAGACACGGACCAGAAGTCTTACCCCCACAGGGGATGGAGACGACTCTTACCACGTTTAGCACTTGCCAGATAAATTATTATATACAATGCCGATTTGGTAGACTAAAATCTTACCCGGTAAGTAAGTGATAATGTTCAATTTTACCGTTAAGCGGTTACCGGTAAGTGTTTGGCAAACGGGGGGCAAACTTCGTTTCATTTGATGCATTTTGTCCATTTTTAATAATGTGTACCCATGTATTTTATAACTCTTGGTATTTTGGTCTAGGTATACCCGAAGTCATGGACGGCGGTTTACATGCCGTTGGACAATGTGGGAATGTGGAATGTACGGTCGGAGAATTGGGCTCGACAATATTTAGGTCAACAATTCTATCATCGTGTTTATTCGCCTGCTAATTCTTGGCGAGACGAGGCTCCTATTCCAAACAACGTTCTTCTCTGTGGACGGGCGGTAGGACATCATCAACCTTGAACTCGTTTACGACACGAGTGAATTGTTTTACTAGGTTTTATACAAAGGAATTCCGAACCAATGCGTAGACTCATCTTCTTTAGCGTTATTCGTTGGCTTGGTTGTATTGTATCGGAGGAAGAGCGTTATTCGTTGGCTTGGTTGTATTGTATCAGAGGAAGAGCGTTATTCGATTGTTGTTCAAAATATATTTTATTTTCGGATTACGGAATTGTAGTTATTATAGTGCAAAAGCAATGGTAATTTTTATGTATACCGATGATGAAATATCTATCGACTTCGTTGTTTTGGTTTAGGGTTTGTTCTTTCTTAGACATAATTATGATGCCACAATCTTTTCCGTATGTGATGTTGATTTGTTATCTATAAACGTTTGTAAAACTGATTACAATTTTTATTTGTAAAACTGAACTAAGGGTCGTTTACCAAACACTTATCCAAGTAAGTTTTTAGCAAGTTACATTACTTTACCGGATGAATGCGAGAAGGATCTAAAAATTCACCGGTTTTGCAAAACAAAAAGTAAAAGAACAACCAAGCAAAAGGTGAAATTGAATTCAATAGATAAATTAGAAAATTTATAATTTTGGTAATTTTGAATTAAAATGTTAATACAAATGCATTTTAGGTATTTTAAAACTCTCATCTTCCCTCTCTTCTCTCTCCGTCCCCCGTCCTCCGGTGATACCACAGTGGTATCACAATGCATCTTATATGTGTTTGGGCATCACACTGAGGTCGCTTGTGTGGTCGATCGGAGATGTAACACAGTGGTATCACAATGCATCTTATATGTGCTTGGGTATCACACTGTTTTTTTTTATTAACCGAGTCAGTATTTTTAGGTATCACAGTTGTATAACCGGAGGACGGAGGACGTGGGACGGAGAGAGAAGAGAGAAAATACCTAAAATGTTATTGCATAAAAATTTTAATTCAAAATTACAAAATTTCCTAATTTATCTATTGATTTGTGGTTAAAATTAGATCTTACGGTTACCACAAACTAGTCAGTTCTCCCATGAATGGACGTGTATATATATATATATATATATATATATATTAGAGAGAGAGAGGGTTTGGTTATTATACAACCTTTTATATTTGTACAACCAGTGCAACACAATCTCACCCATCCATTTAATTTGATAAATATGTGATTTCATAGAAATTTTGGTTGTTTCTTGATATAAAGTATTAATCATAATTAATGAACCGTATTCATCATCCATAAATATTCAAATCATAATAAATGAACTCTCATCATTTCCATAAATATCTTAATTAATTGTGTTGCATTGGTTGTACAAATGAACATAGTTGCATTTGAAATATACCCTATAATATATATAAAATTTAAAAACTCCAAAACTTATAAAAACTTTTATTTCACATAATTTTTTTCATCGCTAAAACTTGATTGAAATATATTATTTCTCGGACAAAAATAAAATCGTTTTGACGTGAATTAAAATTGAATTCTATTAACCGCAAAAGTGGTATCCGATTGGTTTGAGTTTGGCTCCAAAGGTCAAAAGTACCAGGAAGTCCCAAGTTCAAATCCAAGGAGAAATAAAAATCCTTTTATGGTCACGGAAGTTCAAATACGGTAACTCCGGACTATCTACAAAGCAGATGGTCTCCCTGGATCTAATTGACTCACATAACGGATTGGATATATCTGGTTAATAAAAAAAATAAAATTGAATTCTATTTACAATTGAACAGTTATTTTTCAATCACACTGGGTGGAAAGCGTGCTCTATACGACATCAGTTATTTCTCCCTCATATAAATTCAGGTTTTCCCGCGACGGCTTATACCCCCCACCCCACACTCCATTTTCTACCCCCTGCTTCTTCTTCGTATTCTAAAACCCTAACTCTGATCAATTTCATCCTTACGCTTCCATGAAGCTTCGTAGTCGTTCTTCTGATCCTTCTGACAAAGGTAATCCCGGTTGATTTTATACAATGTCTCATCGATTTCCTTGATTTGTGTGTTTTCACTTTTGATTGGTATATATATTGATATCGTTAGTTGAACGGACTGATAATAGTAGGTTTCGTTTGTAGCTTGTCTGTAATTTGATGTTTTCACGAGTTTTCCCTAAAAAAAGGAAAAAGTAAATTAAGCGCTTACTGAAAATATGGTTATCTACGTGTTTTCCTGTCGAGGACAACTTCATTTATATTGATTATGTTTGTTGAATGGATTGAAGAAGCGTAGGCTGTTTTTAGTTTTGTCTGCAACCTTATGGTTTTATGCTTTTTCCTAAAAAGGAACCGGGGAGGGGGGGGGGGAGTTAAATGCTTAATGAAAATATGTTTTCAGTGTTTGGTTATGGTCATGTATTATTTTTCGTTGAGGAAAACTTGATTTGATGCAACTGTGTGAAATTAGGTAAGAGCGTTGTGGAGATATCGGACTATGAAGATGATGGTCACTCATCCTCAGATTCTGATTACAGTGAATATAGTCAAGAAGGTACCTCTTTATTCGACTTTACTATCCGCTATGCCAAAATTATTGAGCATTTTTCTTAAACACATTGTATTTGAACTATGCATGTGCTTTATTTTCTGAGCCATGTTAACATGATGATAACTAAGTACGGCTTACTCTGTTCCAGAATAGATGATCACGTCCCTATACAACTTACAAACAGCAGTGTTCTTGAAAAGGATGAAGTATATATTTGAATATCTTGTATGAGACTATGACTTCTGTCAAATCTTATGTGAATATACTTATTTTATTACTGTTTAGAACCTCTGAAAGTTATTGACAGATTGAGCAAAGAAACGAATGATCTAGCTGAACCGGGTGATGTTTGATGTTGCATGTATAACTTGGATTTGTTTTTATGTTAATGTAGGTCTTGACAATGATGAAGATTTGGTTGAAGAAGATTCAGAGGTTGATGAGCCCAAGAGAAGGAAAATTGGCTCAAGGAGAGAAAAGATAAAAAATCAGGAAAGGGAGGAACAATTGGATGAAGAAATGGTGGTTGAAGTTGATCATGTTGAGCCTGTTGGAGAAGATGTTGCTGTAGTAAAGAAAATAACTAATAAGAAAGGGAAGAAGACAAGACCAACATTAATGTGGGAGGTTTGGGAAGAAGAGACTGAGAAATGGCTTGACCAGCATATGACAACAGATATTAATTTAGATAATTTGAATGAGGTAGTAGTGGAAACTGTTGATGCATCACCGGATCTGATTATGCCACTTCTAAGGTACCAAAAGGAATGGCTAGCCTGGGCATTGAAGCAAGAAGAATCTGCTTCAAGAGGGGGTATCCTGGCTGATGAAATGGGGATGGGGAAGACTGTGCAAGCGATTGCTCTTGTACTTGCTAAACGGGCACTTTGCCGTGAAATTGGTGAACCTGTTGGGCTGTCAACTGGTTCCTCCACAGGGTTACCATGTGTCAAAGCAACCCTTGTTATATGCCCCTTAATTGCTGTCATGCAATGGGTTAATGAGATCGATCGATTCACTGCAAAAGGAAGCAACAAGGTACTAGTATATCATGGAGCCAACAGGGCGAAAACACTTTGTGAATTTTCACAGTATGATTTTATCATAACTACATACTCCATCGTGGAGGCTGAATATCGGAAAAATGTTATGCCACCAAAAGATAGGTGTCAGTGGTGTGGGAAAATGTTTTATAAGAAGAAACTACAAATTCACCTGAGATATTTCTGTGGTCCTGATGCTGTTAAAACCGATAAGCAGTCGAAGCAGTCTAAAAAGAGAGGGAAACATGGGGTAAAATTGTCAATGTCGAAAGAAGATCCATCTGCTGAAGGGGATGATAAAAAGAAGGCAAGTGACAAGAATACAAAGCGTCAGAGGAAGAAAGAGCAATTAGAAGCTGGTGGTTCTTCAGAGAGTCCCTCAGGTTCTTCATATAAATCGTCTCAGAAGTCTATTTTGCACTCTGTAAAATGGACTCGCATTATTCTGGATGAGGTATGTCTTGTTAGAGGTCTATTATTTTGAAGCTTATGATTGTTCATTTATTTCAACTTGCTAGTATTTATGAAGCTGCTATGCTCTTTCATCTCTTTTTATACACTTGTATGAATTGGCAGGTGTTGTATGTGCATACTGGTATGGATACACATCCAAACACACAACTGCCCCTATGAATGTTCTTAGTATGTAATATCTCTTGTTAGAAGAGAGTTCCATTTCCAGCTACTCCATTCAAGATAGCAGTCACATTTCTAAAGATGCAACAAAATGGCAAATATTCTACCTAATTATGACTACAAGCATGGTTCCTGCCACCAAAATGTTCATAAAAGTGGAAGTTTAGAATTGGCTATAATGTTTGAGTAGTTTGAATATGGCATGGGGCAGTAGTTCTGGAGTAGAAGAGGGGTAAATGCAAGGGCTATAGAAGTTCAATCAAGGAAACCTTTGAACAAAAATGATCATACTTGCATCCTTTTGCTATGCTCTTGCACCTTCAAATCTCTTTTGTTTATGGTCCAAGTGCTTATTATTTTGGTTTTTATCTGAATTTTCTGACTTATGTACAGGCTCATTACATAAAAGATAGACGCTGTAATACCACCAGAGCTGTTTTTGCGTTAGAGTCCTCCTATAAATGGGCTTTAAGTGGCACTCCCCTTCAAAATCGTGTTGGAGAACTCTACTCACTTGTAAGTAATGTTCACATTAAATTTAATGTTATAGTTTGCCATCAGTCACTTATGAATTATAGTTATTGTTTGTTATGACAGGTTCGCTTCTTACAAGTAACTCCATTCTCTTATTACATGTGTAAAGACTGTGATTGTAAAGTGCTTGATAGGTAAGGTTCTTTCTTTTATGGTGTATCTATAGTTTATGTGGTGTATCTATAGTTCATGGTGTGGAGGGTGGAATGCAGATATGCAATGTTGTGGTTGGTGTGTTGCACATTATGCATGTGGGTGAGTTGAATAGTTGTTCATTATGCCATGTGTTTTGGGGATCAAATTTTATCTGTAACATGCTGAGAGCTCTTCATTAAGTTGTTTAATATCCTGCGTCCTTGTGAAATACCAGTTATGTCGTTGCTTATACATTAAACTAGTATTTCAGATCAAAATATTAACTAATTGTTGTTCTTACCAACACAACCCCAATATTCTTCAAGTTCACTCTGGAATTAAATTGCAAAAGGTGAAGTTTTGGTACAATGGTATTTAGTACTTGGAAATTATGTTTTTTTCCCTTTTTTTGATGTCACGTGATACAGAAATGTAAACTTGGTAGTCATTCATATTTTTTGGAAAGTTGAAATCATCAAACTACAAGATAAACTTTCAATGCTGACATGTCTGTTGACATATGGAAAACCCTGTTCTTTTTTCTCGTCTATATTTTATTGCTATTGTTGCTGTTAGCATCTCATGGTGTAAGATATGAGCTGAAGTATGATCTTGGCCAGTCCCCTTTCCTTTCACTTTCACTTCCACTTCCACTTTCCCTCTATTTTTTTGCTCTCGTTTTTTTGTTTGTATTGTTAATAGCGTTTTTTCGTATGCAATTCTAGTATGGAATGCTTGATCATACCATTGATTTCCTTGATCTTTTCTTTTCGCTGGATTGCAGTCCAAATTCAGTATGCCAAGACTGCCCTCACAAATCAGTGAGACACTTCTGTTGGTGGAATAGAGTGAGTCATTCTTCGCAGGTTCTTATGCTTTGTGATAACTGGTTGCTGTTTGTTTGGGCGTTAATCTGTTTTTGTCATATCAGTACATTGCTAATCCCATTGCAAATGGAGGGCGTACGGATCAGGGTAAAAGAGCTATGATTCTGCTGAAGGATAAGGTTTTGAAGAGCATATTGTTACGGCGTACTAAGAAGGGTAGAGCTGCAGATCTTGCACTCCCCCCTAGAATAGTAAGTTTTGTTGTCATATTACTGAATGAAGAAAACTATATTTATGCGCTTGTTAATTGTTGTACTTTTTGTGATTATACACAGATTTCACTGAGGCGTGACTACCTTGATATTACAGAGAAGGATTATTACACATCACTCTATAGTGAAAGTCAAGCTCAATTTAACACGCAAGTCTTCTTTCTCTCATTGTTTTTGCTGTTGTATTTCATGCCTCCAGACCATGAATATGAATAATCATGCATTGAATATGGAATGCATAATATCTGGACATTCACCTTTACTCATGTATTGAGTACGATCCGTATTGAGGATATATTGCTGGGGTGGGTTTATGGGATTTTTATTTCATCTTTATTGGCACACAGGGCAGTTTCAATATATTAATGTCATTTGGGTATTTTGCCACGAAATTGGATATATGCTTAAAGATTGTTTGTGAAACTTTGTTTCATTTTCATCTATTCATGGACACCTTTAAGCAGTGTTGGGTTTTCTTGTTGTCATTTGGTGTTGAATAGTCTAATACATCTCAGCAAGTCCATATTGTTAAGGAGTACTAACAAATTGGGCTTGCTAAGTCCATTTGGTGTTGAACAGTCTTAATACATTGAGCTTGTTAATTGTTTTGGATGTCACAATGAGGTTTTCTAAGTGGTAGGCATCCAAGTTGTGGCTGAAATGATTTTCCATCTGCAGATACATTGAAGCAGGAACACTAATGAACAACTATGCTCATATTTTTGACCTCCTAACGCACCTGCGACAGGTGACTAATCATTCTACACAGCTTTTCAAATATTGGTTTGCAGCATAGATTTTTAGGGTTGGTATTTGTAATTGGAGCTCATCTCCAGGCCATGCAACTGAATCAATCGAGTCTTGTCCTTTCCCCCCCTCTAATTCTGCTTTGACTGCTTTTATTTATTTATTTGAAAGATAATATAAATCACAACATGTCCTGCATCCTACCTTTCTTTAGGTAGATGATTAAATTTAGGGATTGCACATTTATATGAACTTTTATTTGGTGATCAAGTTTGAGAGCTTATATGCACAAAGCAGCACCTTAGTAATGTAATACCATGAAAGTCGTAAAGATATATCTTGATATCTGTTTATTTGGGAGTGTTGAACCAAAAATGTGATCAAGGTTTAAAAAYTTGAAAAATGCAGTCGTCAGTTAATTCATTCCCAATTCTTCTAAGAACTGCAATTTCAAAAGCAAAATTGTTTGATTGATGGCAGAGTTGAAAATCTTTTTGAATGCTTGTGATCTTTTCTTGGATATCTCACCTTTCTATGGTTATTCCACTAGACTTKCCTTGGCTTTGTGGGTATGTGCCCCCATCCCGATAAACYGAGTTGCTAGGTACAACATTGGGTTTGGACTTTGCAAAGGTAGCAAAGGATAGTAATTTTGCTTGAGCAAAATTCATAATTGAAGTATGAAATGTTCAATTGTAGCAGTCAACGTGAGCTGTTTTAGTTTATTCTATAATATGATTAGATTGATAATTTGCTCGAATGTAGCTCCGTGGTTCTATAATATGTTATTATATGTCTGATATTTTTTGATGATAAATAATGATCATAACATTTCAGGCTGTTGATCATCCTTATCTTGTGGTGTACTCCAAATCTGCTGTTGAAAGAAGGGCAGGCGAGGCCGGATCTACTGATGAACAAGTTTGTGGTTTATGTCATGATGTAGCAGAAGACCCTGTGGTACTGTATTGACTTTTACAAATAAAGTCTAATATGAAATACCAAACTGAATCTCAATCGAAGTTTGCAAAGAATTTATGTCTTGTGAGTAATATTTGTTACCTAATGTTGGATATATAAAAATTCTCCAGGTCACATCATGTGGGCATCTCTTCTGTAAGCCGTGTCTGATTGAATTTTCAGCTAGCTATGGTCAACCTGCATGCCCTTCATGTTCGAAACCACTTACGGTGGACTTCAGTTCAAACAAGGATCAAGAAGATCAGAAGCCTAAAATGAGCGTGAAAGGATTTAAGTCAACAAGTATTATCAACAGAATCCGTCTTGAAGATTTCCAGACAAGCACCAAAATTGATGCTTTGGTATGTGGGACTTGGATGTTAGCATTTTTATTTCTTATTTTTCGTTATCTTCATTGTTCGAACACATTGGGTACATATGCTTGATCATGGTTGATTGATTTTCAGAAGGAAGAAATCAGATTCATGGTCGAAAGGGATGGTTCTGCTAAAGGAATTGTATTCAGCCAGTTCACATCATTTCTGGATTTGATAAGCTATTCTTTGCAGAAGGTAAAGCTGTGCTTTTAATTTAGTTATTCCCTCTAACCCATAAAAGAGCCCATTTCAGTATTTATTCTCCCCGTTTCAAAATAAATGTCGTCCACAATTAAAAAGACATACAATTTTAGAAATGTGTGATTATTACGCTTTTTCATTTTACTCTTAGTAACAGAGGGAGTAATTACCAGTGACATTGGAGAGTAGGCACTTGCTTTTGAAAGTGCACATTTATTTAGGGACAAACTAAAATTAAAATGTGGTCGATTATTTTGGGACGGAGGTAGTTAAATTCAAGGCAAGTACTTTCCAGTTTCAGTTTGCATCAATGTTTTGAAGTTTATGGCTCCACAATTTGATTACGTGATTACCTTTCATATGTTATAGATGTAGTTATTATCTCTCGATATTAAAACAATCCTCTATTAATAGTACAATAGAATGTTGCATATTTGGCACTTAAATTCAGACATTGACTTTCTTTTGGGATGAAGGAGGCGTTATTTTGTACACTCAAAACGAAGAGAGATGAAAGTTGAATGGTGTGAAATTTTGCAGTGTGGCGTGAAATGTGTTCAGTTAGATGGATCCATGAGCATGGCTGCCAGAGAAGCTGCAATTACCAGATTCACGGAGGATGGGGAGTGCAGAGTCTTCCTGATGAGCTTGAAAGCTGGAGGTGTTGCTTTAAATCTTACAGTTGCCTCACATGTAAGAACCTCTTTTCTTTTATTTATTTATTATATCTAGAGTAAATTATGGTTTTCGTCCCTGTGGTTTGTTAAAAATTGCGACTTCCGTTCTTGTGGTTCAGAAATTTGGGTTTTCGTCCCGATGGCTTGCAATTTATTGCTATTTTAGTCCTTGAGACTAACTTCTAGTCTTCTACCTTTCAGTACGAGGGATGAAAGCAACAAATTGTAAACCACAGGGACAAAAACAGCAACAAATTGTAAGGCATAAGGATGAAAACAACAATAGATTGTCAACCGTAGGGATGAATATCTTAATTTCAAAAGCATAGGGATGGAAATAAGAATTTTCAACAAACCACAAGGACGAATAGCATAGTTTACTCTTATTTCTAAAAGCAAACCAAAAAATCCCACCCAACGTTGGGTCGGGATGTTTGCAAACCTTAAGAGCATCTCCAACAAATTCTCCAAAATGTAGATTTTGGAGTTTTTAGGTTATGTTCTTTAACACATTCTCCAAAATGGAGAGAGTAGGAGAGAGACGATGAAAATCTCCCAAATCAGAGAATTCTCCGGAATTAAATGGTGAAGAGAGAGAAATGTCAATGCTGTTGAATGTATTATCATTTTATATAAAATGTATTTTGAAAGTTTTTTGGGGTATTAAATGTATTTAAATATTTTAGTTTTCTCAAAATCACATAAAACCGTATTATAACATAGACTGAGACAAAAAAAGAATAAAATGAAACATTAAAATCAAGATGTATCTCGCTTCATTGTGCGAATACCCTTCTAATATAATTAATGTTGAAATATTAAAATTGGAGAAACTGAATATTAATTTTTTTGAAGATTTTAACTTATGCTGGTCCAAATAATTCGGGTTGATTTGTAACGGGTCAGGTATTCTTGATGGACCCTTGGTGGAATCCGGCTGTGGAGCAGCAAGCACAAGATAGAATCCATCGAATAGGTCAATACAAACCAATCAGGTTTGTTTTTTTGTCTGAAATTCGATTTTTGATCATATGATCAAATGAGTGATTAAGTAGTAAGATATTTGTTGTTGGTCAGGGTTGTGAGGTTTATAATAGAGAACACCATTGAAGAGAGAATTCTGAATCTGCAAGAGAAGAAGAAATTGGTGTTCGAGGGGTAAATTTCAACCATACTTCCTACTGTTCTTGTTTACACACACACACACATGTGCGCGCACATAGGGGTAGGTTTAATTGCAAACTTAAGTTCTTTTGTGAACTGGAGCATGCCACGTGTCCTAGACATTCACTGGATATCCATCATGAATGGTGTAAATATTCATCATGAATATTGTAAATTTATTATTCATAAACACATGTCATGCTCTTGTTTGTTCACAACGGAAGTTAAGTTTGCAACTGAACTTCCCCCCCCCCCCCCCCCCCCCNCCCCTCCCCTCCTTCTCTCTCTACATATAGACAGGGATTGTTTGTTTACATCTTAATAGTTTCATTAAGATGTAAATTTCATTAAGAGTTTCATTAATTGTTTGTTTACATCTTAATGGTTTCATTAAGATTCTGGTTCTTGCCTTATTCAAAGGGTTTTAGGACCATTAAGAGTCAATCTCTGAATCGTTAAGAGGTAAATCTTGTTTGGAAAAAAAAGGCCGACTCTTAATGGTCCTAAAACCCTTTGAATGATTTTGTATTTTGGGCCTCCCTTAACTATTAAGAGCCATAATTTCATTGTAAACAATTACCAAACAATTATATTTCATTTTGCATTATATCATGAGAGGCTTTTAATCATTCTGACCACTTAATGATTATGCACAAAATCATTCAGCAACTGCCAAACATTTAACTGGTTTTGGCGTTTACAGGACGGTGGGAGGCTCAAACGAAGCTCTGGGAAGGCTGACGGAGGCCGATATGAGGTTTCTTTTTGCGACCTAACTTGCTTTCATTCAAATGGCAAATGTTAATATTAGAAAAAAGGGTTTAATTTATTTTGGTTTAACCATCTTAAATGAAGAAGCTAGAAAACTTGTAGTAACGGTTTTCTCCGAAAGTGGGTCTTTTGGTGGTAGTGACTGGCGACGAAGTCGTGGTTGGCTTTAGAGCTGTTTTCTATTTGTTTTGTTGTGAAATGTGAATAGAAAGAGATGTTAGAAATCTGCTTTTGTTGTTGTATTTGGCAACGTCGTCCCAACTGAATCTAACTCCTTGACCAACTTTGTGGTTTCATTTTTTACATGCATTATATAGTTTGTTGATTTGTTCTATGGACTGAGGTGGGGTTTATTCAGGGGTCGTTTACCAAACACTTACCCGGGTAAGCGTTTATCAAGTCACATTACTTTACCGGATGAATAAGGCAAGAACCAGAATCTTACCTGATAAGAACGAGACAAGGACAAAGAGTCTAACCCGGTAAGTGAGGACGATGACTCTTTACCACAGTTAGCGTTTACTGGGTAAATTGATGCATAAGATGTAGTTTTTGTTGACTAAGAATCTTACCCAGTAATTGAGGACGACGACTCCTAACATGGTTAGTGTTTACCAGGTGAATTGTTACATATGGTATCGTTTTGGTAGATTAAAATTTTACACGGTAAGTAAGTGATAGTGTTGAATTTTGTCAGTAAAGACTTACCCGGATAAATATTAGGTAAATGGCTCCTTAGTAAGCCTTGTTTGGTTTGGTTTGCTTGGATTTGGAATTTTATTTCATTCCAATTCCATGTCCGTTTAAAAGGATTTCATTGAAATTCTATAAACTTAGGATTTTGAAATCCGAATGGGTAAGTTGGTATGTTTTAGGATTTCATAGGATTTGTTTATAGCAATATTTTAAAACAGGGGAAAGTTAAGAAAAAACATAACCAACTTTCCATTTTGAATGGTTAGTCCTTAAACTTTTTTTAATGAAAAAACCATGAACTTTTTCATTTTGAATGATCAAATATTTCACAAATTTTACGAACATAAAATCTTATTAAATTTGGTTCAAAAACCAAAGTCAAACAAGATAGGAAATATGAATATAACTTAGTTTTATGAATTACAATAATGTTTTAATTTTAGTAAAATTATAAGTTTTATTATAAAAATTTTATATAAAGATCCAAATATGAGAAGGGTATGTGAATTTATTTGTTTTATTTTGCCGTATATAAATATTATATACTTAAAAAAAATCCATTATTGCAATTTTTTGGAACACAACATTTGCAAAACAAGGTAGGTATTAAACCGAAGGATGTATGATTATTGATTCATGAATAGATACATTCGCAAATATTCAATCTTAATCAATCACAATACTATCTTTCTCATCTTTCTACTTAGATCACGGTGTAGATGACTGCAAACTTGTATCCAAACTTACACTGCTAATGGTAATGGGGCTGAGAGTCACAATAGTGGGATTATAGGTTTCGTCTGGAGGCAAAAGGGTGTTCGTATTGAGAGCTGTGTAAACCATTAAAACAATTGAAACCATGACTGAAAGTGCCGAAAGAAGCAGCATAAGCAAATGAGCAATGCTACTCTTCATCTCTTGTGCATATTCTGTTGAAGCCAGTGCCAGTACTGTTAATGGGTATGAATATGCCCACCATACCACATTAAATTTCTTCATTGATTTTTTGAACAGGTTTGGCCTTGTTACCTGTTTTTTCCACACATGACAAAGAGTTTAGTTGATTTCAAATAGCATTTGACATATTTACCCTTATTCTCGATACACAATAGGTTTTACCCGATTACTAAACAAGGATAAATTTGTAAAGTAACATAACTCATGCCAAGATGATTCTACAACTATATTTTGATTTTGATTGTTTAAAGGCTAATCAACTAACTTTATAGATTCTTTTTTTTAAATCATACCCATCAGTTTTCAAATTTTTACTGTTTTCATACAATTAAAACGACATCTCATAAACTCAATATCCAAAATCACTCTTTAGACATCATGGTTCCAGAACAAGAACACACGGGAGATGCTTTGCTCATTGATGTCAATTCAAGTCCCACTCCAATGTGCACGTATGCTCCATCCAATAGTCGATATTTTATGTTTTAGTTTACAAAAACGATTTCCCTTCAACTTAATAACTTTCTTAATCTTAATTCTGTTGTATTAATTTGGAAAGAGAAAATGATATAACTGATACAATCATATAATTATATAATATATAAAAAAACATCTCTAACAATTGTTTTACCTATGATATCATAAATACTTTGAACCAATATTAGTGGTCCTATATCAACGTTTACACTTACCCTTCAATCACATACCAGATAACGTGTTTGACTTTGTTACACAATTTACGCTAAAGGGTTTTACATCAATTCTTTCGTTTTATTACACATTTATGACTTAAGATGTAACGTTTTATGACGAATCTTTCAACAGAGTATACGTTTTCCTTTAGTTTATTGTACAAAATCCCTAACCCCGATTAATAAAATATAGATAAGCATACAACCACATAATTTATGTTGAAGATAGCTGTTGTTGTTTCAAATCTTTCTTTTTGTCTTTATTAATCATTTAAGAACAAAGATTAATTACAAAAAATATTGTGCAACCTTATTGTTTGTTTTTACTTGTGATTTGGGGACAAAAGTTCAAGATTATAAAATGCAGTGGATGTTGATGCACGATTGGGAAGAAACATGTTCTTCCAGAAACAAAATTAATATTTGGTTTAAAGCAAATGTTTTAGCACTGGTTATAATAAAACCAGATGCCATAATTTCGATCCATTTATTTTAGAACCGGTTTATTAGTATTATATTTTATTTTTAATGGGTTAACTAAAAATGAAACATGCTCAAATGGGTTGAAAGTCATTCAAAATGTTTGTTTGTGCAGAATGGTTTGTAACCGATAACTTTTAAATGGGCTTACGCCATTCTATCACAAGAACATCGTATACAGATGTGCAAAGCAAATCAGTTATGTAGGAGCATGCTAGGTGGATGACTTAAGAGTTAAGAGCCCGTTGCCCACAAAGGAACACAATCTGCAAAAGAAATTACAACTCTTAGGTTCTATTGGTTTGCACGATCGGGTAGAATTTGGAATTCAATTCCATTCCAATCCCAAGTTTGGTTTAAAAAATTATTTGGATTTGAAATCATTGAAATCCCACAAACATGGGATTTCGAAATCCCACAGGTGGTGTTGGTATTTCGTGGGAATTCATAGGATTTGTATGTAATGATGTTTTAAAATACGTTGAAAACATTTGTTTTGTAATAATCAATTAATGAAAAGATAATTTATATTTCTTTATATTTTATTTTTGTAAATTATTTATAATAAATGGAATTCAATTTCATTCCAAATCCTACAAGCCAAACACACCAAAGATTTCAAATCCTACAATTTCGAATCCTTCCACAAAATTCCAATCCCTCAGAACTATTCCATCAAACCAAAACGCATGCTTAGATTCAGACCCTTATCAATCTTTTTGTGCAATATACCACTTCAGAACTAACTGTTTACAATATCCTTCGCCAAATAAATAACTTCAGTAATAAAATCTCAGACAAATATATGTTTTCAATAATCCAAATCAAATCAAACAGACCCAGTAAATCTTACTCCGAAGTAAGGTTTAAAGAAGATTTAGAGACTGTTTGGCAATTGCTGAATGATTAAGTGGTCAGAATGATTAAGAAACTTTCATGATATAGTACACAATGAAATATAATTGTTTAGTAATTGTGTACAATGAAATTAGGGCTCTTAATGGTTAGGGAAAATCCATGATACAAAATCATTCAGAGGGTTTTAGAACCATTAAGAGACAAACTTTTTTTTTACAAAACAAGATTCACCTCTTAATGATTCAGAGTTTGCCCCTTAATGAAACTATTAAACAAATTTAACTTCTACCCAAAATAATTATAAATTGGTCCATGAAGATGAGATTGTATAAAATATTTGCTTCAAAAGGCAAATAAAAGTTAACAAAAAATGAAGACAAATGTATGGACACCAAATTCCAAAAATTGTTAGGTGAGAGTTAGAGCTTTTTCAATTCTAAATTGGTCTCTTAAACCTTTGAAAATGACTTCATTTTCCCATTAATATTTTATTATTTTCCAAATAAATAAATCAAATATATTTTAATACCTATCTAAATTATACAGATTTTTATATGGTGGGACCACTTTTTTACACTTGAAACTTCACAGTAAAACAATATGACGGTAGAAAAAAGTCGAACATTCACAGCAAAAACACTGTGATGTTTCAAGTGTAAAAAGTGATCTTACGTGATGCCAAGTCTATATTGTACTGCATCATCTCAAATTCAGATCAACTTAATAAAAAAATTTCAATTACAATATGGTTTAGAGCATCAGGATTAAATTCGATAATCTAAAAAAAACTCTAAACGTTGTCTGTTCATGTGTTTTTGCTAATTAATCAAACGATTAACCTGCAAACACGATAATCAAACCCAAACAGTGCTTAAAATCAGTGTTATCATATAAAAGTCATGATATGTTTTTTTTTAGATGTTTTACAGTAACTAAAATAATTTCATTTTTCAACGAAATGTCGGTTTTAAGCATTCAACGATCGTCTTTTCTTATCAATCAAAATCAATATCGTTGTATTTTAGACAATATATCAACAAGTAAATAAACGTAAAAAAAACGTGTTGTTAATTTATCTGTTTTTAAAAAAATACAACTTAAAATATTGCAAAAAACCTAGCAAAACAATTAAGACATAACACATTTAGGTGGTGTTTGTTTTTTAAAAGGTGTTGAAATCTAAAGTCTGATTTCACTTCCGATTTATAGGAGGTGATCTGAAATCTGAAATATAGCTCAATAAGATTGTTTGTTTTTACGTCTGAAGTCTGAAAATTAAATCGGTCAAATTAATAAAAAATATAAAAGAGTTGATAGCAATTTAAATGCACCATAATTTCTTTTATAGCAATTTGAAGAAATAATAATCAATTTTGTAGCAAATTTGTCAAATTCAAATACAATTTTGATTTTTTAACTCAAATTTTGACCAAATAATATTTTCTTAAAATTAAGAAAATATTATTTGTTACTTTCCTCGTCGTAAATCATAGAGTTGTTTACCAAACGCTTATCCGGTAAGTATTTATCAATAAAGATCTTATCAGATGTACATAACAAAGATCCAGAATCTTATTTGGTAAAAATGATAGTAAAGATTATCTTATCCGGTAAGAACAAATGGTAAGAACCGAGAGTCTTACCATATAAGTGAAGGTGATGACAGTTATCCGGTTAGCGTTTACCGGACAAATCATGGCATACGATGTCGCTCCAATTGATTAGAATTGTATCCAATAAATTAAATTAAGCACCGGTAAGCGCTTACTGGGTAAGCGTTTGGGTAAATAACTCGTAAGTATCTACTTTTAAAAATAAGTTTCAACTTTCCATATCTATCCTTCGTTATGAGATTGAGAAATTTATTTTTCTAATATCAAGAGTAAAAATTCTCGTTTTAAATTGTGTTATTTTAAATATGGACATTCGTTTTAATACGGGGAGAGAGTAATATTTGTAAACTAGAAGGGTACTCGCACAATGCAGTGAGATATATCTCGATTTTAATGTTTCCTTTCATTTTTTTGGTCTCTATCGATATTATAATACAAATTTACGTGGTTTTTGGCAAACAATAATGTTTTTCTTAATAAAATATAAACTTGAAGATATCATAAAAATTAAAAAAATAATAAAAGTTCTCATTTTTTTGTGTAATTTCTTTAATTTAATTTTTTAATTATAATTTAATTTATGTTTAATGACGAAGTAATTTATTTTTGGTTTACTAATATAATTTTTATGAAAATAATAACTAAGTATTATGTTAGAATTCAATAATTATCATAATTATATTTTATATTTAAAACAAGAATTTTATCTTGTATTTGATTATATTTATCTACAGTTAGTTACACGATTTTAAACATGGAGCTTAATAAGTTGTACTTACGCACAATTTACTTGTAATCTTGAATTTAAAATAATATACATCAATAAGCAGTACTTTATGTATAAAAGATGGTTTTTAAGAGTTTTTATCAAATTTTATAGTATAGATAAAATAAAATTAAAATATACGAAAAATATATTTGAAACTATTAATAGAAATACTAGAAATAGCCATTTGAAAGGAAATAAATACAAAATGTCATTTTCATGTTTTGAATTTATCTTTTAGTCATTTCTCTTTTAAAATTTTAAAAATATCATCTCCTCAATTTATCGAGGGTCAAAATATAAACAAAGGTTTCTCAACCACTTCAAAAACTTACAGATTTGGTCTTTGTACTTACGAAACCAGTTCAACAACTTTTTTTACACTTTAACTGAGACGATACTTTTGACATATTAAGATAAAAATGACTAAAATTCCAAAAACACAAATTGCATGAAAAAATGACGTACTTTAACTTGATTTCTATTTTGGATAACGTACTTTCAGATCTTCTATTTTGATACATAAGATGTAAAGTTTTAAACATTTAATTATTTAAGTAACCGGGTAATCGGTTGAAGACTAATTTTAGATTAAAAAATTCATGTCACTAATCACGTCAGCAAATAATATTGAGTTGGATACCACATCACTCATCAGATCAACATGATAACTGTTTAATACTTCAACCGATTACTTAGTTACTTAAACATTAAAATATTTTACATCTCAGATACCAAAATAAAAGTTTTAAATTACATCACCTAAAATAGGATTCAACAAAAAAAAAATTTGTCCAATAAAGAAATTAAGTATTTTAATTAATTTGGCACGGAGAAGTAGACTTACCAGGGAGACGAAGAGAAAAAGTGAGAGATAAAAGAGCATCTTTGACGAGAAGTCAAACGTCCCTGAAATTGAATCCCAAGCTAAGCTCGCCATGCTCGGAGCTGCAATAAACAAGAACATCACCGGCCGGAGCATCGTCGGAAGACAACTATTTCCCGATAATCTCTGATAAAGCGTCACGAAAACCACCACATAATGTATCATCCCTAACGCAAACAACACCATCGCACTCTCCTTCCACCCCATCATCGCCGCAGCCCGAGCTCCCACAAAGTTTCCGACCACCGATAGCTGGCTCGCCGGATTCGCCACCGTCGACAGAATCCTCTTTCCCTTGGTGAACCACTGCCCATATATCTTCACGTCAAGAACAAATATCGGAACCACAAAAACCCACCAAAGAAGAAGATAATAAATGTTTTTTGGAGTGAAAAATGGCGCCGATTGAAGCAAAAGGAGCCATGAAATCGACGGTGCAAACAGGTAGTTTACTCCGATATGGTTTAGATATTCGCTTTTCACCATATCGGAAAATAATGCGCATCTTAAGATGTATAAGATAGAGAGGGTTGCTAAAATGAGCAGTGACAGTGACCAGAGGAGGAGGAAGGCGGTGGAGGGTAATACGCCGAGCATTCTCCGGTAAGCATGAGCGTTTTCCGGCGGGTCTTTGAGGGTTTTCCAGAGAAGGGTTTGACAGCAAAGGGAGAGGGTGATTCGGAAGTAACCTGCATGGCAACGTGATATCACTGGAAAAACTAGACTTTTGATTATGATTAAGATGGTGTTATGGTTCGTGTCCGATTGGACGATGGTTGAATCGACGGATAACTCGATTTGTGGTGGTGGCGGCGGTGGTTGTTTATTAAGCATTGTTGGAAATGGTGGTGGTGGAGGCGGAGGCGGAGGCCGGCGGTGGGTTGTTGTGTGATTTCAGAACTTGTTATGGGTGGTCATATTTATAGAGGCATCCGTACATGTTGTGTAGGTCAGGGCATGATTTGGATCTGGCGGTCCCAATCTTTTTGACGTCATTCCAATTTTTTGTAAAAAAAAAGCTCGAGATCACAGTGTCAAATTAAGGGGCCGTTTACTTAAATACTTATCCGGTTAATGTTTTCCAGTATAAGTCAACACTATAATTTATTTTGACGCGTAAGATTTTAATACATCAAAACATATCGAATGCAACAATTTACCGAGTAAGCGTTTACTTGGTGGGTAAGAGTCGTCATCCTTACTTACCGGGTAAGACTCTTCATCTTTCTCATTGCTCTTACCGATAAGATTCTTGGTCATTCTCATGTTCATTCGACGAGAAAATTTATGCATTAAGCACTTACCAAGTAAGTATTTAATAAACGGACTCTAAATATAAAATTTTATAATATATATTAAAAATATTAGAGTTAGATGTAAATTTGGTCCCTATAGTTTACATAAATTAATAAGTATGGTCCCTTAAATTTCTTTTTAACAAAAATTATCCTTATTGTTTCATTTTTATAACGGATATGGTCCCTCTTCATAACACTGATCAACTAAAATGGTGTTAGCATGGGATAATTTAGTCCATTAACCTTTCTTCTCCATCTATTTTCGTTCTCATAACACATTTGATCTCTCCATCAACTTTCATTTCAATAACAGATTTGGTTCTTCCTCTGCTTTCAATTTTATAACAGATTTGGTCCTCATTTTAATTAATATACAAAAAAATATATTATAGTTAATAGATGTAAGAATATAAATTAACTAAAGGGCCGTTTACCAAACGCTCATCCGGATAAACGCTTACTAAATCGACAATTTAATTTTTACGTTATTAACAGTTATAAGATTTAGTTGTTCAAAACAACGTATAATAAAAAATTAAACATTTGCTAATTAGAAAAAAAAAAAACCATCGACTCGACACATTGAATAAGAACTAAAATAAAGTTCGTTTTATTTTTATGCATTCCGATCCGAGTTCAAACTTGTAATATTTTCGTGAATTAAAAAATACTTAAAGTTTATTTTATTTGTAAGTTACTGATAAAAACAAAAAACGTAATGTGAAGTATAAAATTATAACTATATAACCATTTTTTTTAATGATTACTCGTGTTCTCTTTTGTCAGAAAAACTTGTGTTCTCGTATTGTTAAAGTTACAGATTTAGGAAGAAAAAGAAAGAAAATGAATTTTTTTATTAACTTGGATATCTAGCACGGTATGCGAGCAGACTAATTTGAGGGTGACTACCTGCTTTGTGGGTAGCTCAGAGTCACCGCATTTGAACCTCTGTGGTCACAAAGGAATTTTTATTTTCTCCTTGGATTTGAACCTGGGACCTCCGAACATTTTTGGCCTTTGGAGCACAAACTCAAATCAATCAGACACCACTCTTATAGTTAATTTTTTTATTTGTATCATCTGAGAGGGAAAAAAAGATGAAAATAAAAACTAAGAAAATATTTCTTCGTATTTTGGAAGAAAAGGTGTAGTAGTTTTCGTCCCAAACATAAGAGGAAATAGAAGGAAAACGAAAATAATTAAAAAGATTATTAAAATTATAAAACTATCAAAATAGATAATTTAAACAAATTCAGACGTTTATCAGTTTACAAAAAAAAAACAGTATTATTAATTCAGATTTCAGATGCCAAAACCACCTCTTATAAATCATAAATAAAATAACATTTCAGATTTTAAGACTTATTAAAAAAATAAACGTGAGTTTAATATTTTTTGCTTTTATACATGACGGTAAAACAAGGAAGTTTTGTTTGTAGAAAAAAAGTCGGAGCTCGGCTAGCTTTCTTGGACTCAACTGGCTGTCTCTTTTCAGCTCTTCATTTTACAGCTAGATGGCTTGAAGGTGGGACCCAAGTGTTTGAATTTGGTTGATCGGCTTGACTAATGAGTCGAGCTCAAGTATTAATTTTTTGATAACCACGGCTAAGCTCGTGAAATAAATAAAAGAGTTGAATACTATAACGTCTTGTTTGACGTATAATAAGTGATAACTATCATTATTACAAGTTGTGAGTTGCATCAATTTATTATTCAAGAAGCTTATCTCGATTTATATATAAATATATATAGTGGGGTTTGGTTTACGTGAGATCAACCTGTTTTTGTAAGACCCGTAAGATTATAAAATTACATTAGAAAACACTCTTTTTACACACACACACACACACACACATATATATATATATATATATATATAGGGGCCCATTCAAGAGAGATTTGATTAGTTTGTGGTAACTGTGAGATCCAATCTCAACCACAAATCAACGGATAAATTAGAAAATTAATAATTACGGTAGATTTGGTTAAAATTATAATTCATGGGCATTTTAGGTATTCTTAAAAAACTCCTCTCTCATCTCTCCGACCTCCAATCTCCGGCCTCTGGTGAACATTAATCCGGCAGGTACCAAGTAATCATAAAGATACACAATGTGATACCCATTGTGATATATTGTGATACTATTGTGATATCAACTCAAACCTTAAAAACAAAGATACACAATGTGATACCCATTGTAATACACAATGTGATACCCATTGTGATATACCGTGATACCGATTTCACTGGAGGCCGGAGATTGGAGGTCGGAGAGATGAGTTTTTAAAAAATACTTAATATGCTCTATAATTGTAATTTTAACTCAAACTGCCATAATTATTAATTTCCTAATTTATCCGTTGATTTGTGGTTGAGATTGGACCTCACAGTTACCACAAACTAATCAGTTCT